ATCTGTTCAGTAACGTAATCACTTTTAACAAGTTCATTTACAAAGCAATATGATTAAATTATCAATTTTTCAAACAGTTTGTATATTTATGAAAATTTAAGTAAAAAGAATACAGAATTACATGATGAAATAAACAAATCATCTAGTTATTACAGTATAAATTGAATAATTAAGTACACAAGCATTAAGTCAAAGTGAACAACACGTAACACAAATAACAAACAACCATTCAAAGTCAAATCAGGTTGTCCTTTCTAGCAATAAAATAAAGAATAGAAACATTTTGATCGACATCATAAGAAAATAATATAACATCAAGGTCATCATGATAAAGAGATGTTTTAACCCGGTAAATGGTTAAGTTTGAAATTTGAGCAAAGCTTGTAGTACTGTTTCAATGAATTCTATGAATAATTCAGCGACACACAATCCTCTCAATGTATTCAATATTGTAAATTACACGACATGAATATTGATTAGAGTTGTTGTTTTCTAAATTTTTCTAGTAAATACCCTTGAATGTAACCTGGAGAACTTGATGTAGCAGGTACACATCTGGATTCATACGAACTGGTAAAGTGACGAAGAGTGACCAGTCGTGGCAACGTATCTTTCACATAGCACATATAGACGACTTCTTTTCTCCAAACTCCCACTAGTATGCTAGTATGCTATGAATTTAGGAAAAAAATCAAAATGAATACATAAATGGATCGAAAATACAAACATGATATTGGTTTAAGTTTTTGTATTCAAAAAAATGATAAAACGAAAGAGAACCACATTGTGAACAAGAAAGTAACAAGTAATACTAGAAAAAAGTATTCACTTAAAAGATTTTACCACAGATAAAGTAAGAAGTACATACATACCAGCAGAATCGATATAATAATAAATGAGAAAAAAAAGAAACCGCACAATCAGCAACATTAATCAATGACCTTTAAATAATGAATAAACTTATCAACAAAGTTAATGAACAATACACGCATTTAAATCATTGGAAAGCATGATGCTAAAGCACATTATAATTAGACTGATGAGCATTTTGATTTTCAAAAAAAAAAACAAACAACGAGTCAAGTACATTGAGACAGAAAAAACACAATCAAAACTGATATCCAATTGGATGGTAAGATAGAATTGATTCCAACAAATGAAAATGACTACAGTATTATAAATCTATATAATATATATATAATAACACATTTTGTGTAACCTTATTTTTAGGTTCAACTTTCAATTACACAATATTTCTTGAAAGGTATTCAGTTTAAAAAGGTTAGTAAAAGTACTGTATAGTAAGCAAATAATTTTGTTAGTATTACACACTGATAAATTTTTATTTATAACTTGCTTGATATTCATTTACTGTGAGTAGCAGCAACACGGAAAACGTCTTCAAAGAATTCATTGATGTGTGTTTAACTTAAAAATGTATGATACAAATTACTGTAATGTATATGGATAGTTTTGCAATTGAAATAATATGACCAGCATGTTGAGAGTAGGAATGAACTAAAAAAACACTTTATACAGAAAATTAATAAATTACAGTTATTACCAATAAAAAAAAACATATCAAGTGAGCTAATTAGTTAACTAAGGACTATTAATCACAATAACACGTTACAACTATCTTGGCTAGGAACAATTCAACTCATCAGCCTAATTACTACAGCATGGCTGTGTAATGATTCTTCAATTTGTAACAGAATATGAGAATGCCATATATGATGGGGAGAATATTTTACCAATATCAACCAGTCATGAGTTACAATAACTAAGATTTGTACAAAACCTCGTTTAAGCGTGACTTAGTTCTAATCTAGTTGCTATCTTTGACATGCCATAAAAGTGACTTGTTAGACAGGCAACCTGCCAGATTAATGAGCAATGCTTAGTTGTGTAAAAGTAAGTGCTAATAAGCTCTGATGGTAATTGAAACTGGTGCGCCGGCAAGAATGACGATTGTTTATCTGCATCAATTTCGAATAGCTTATGAGAATGGGGTTTACTATGCCGATTTTGAATCACAAATACAGTAAGTAATGGTATGCACGAGATTTTAAAGATTGTTGGATATCACTGGAGTCACAGAGCGAAGGTCGTGGGTTTGATTTCAGGCTGTGAGCCATGGACAGGTACCACTGAGGAGTCCTATACTATAACAAAACAACTGTCTAGTGCTCCCAGATTTTCAGTCATGGTTGTCCAACTTGGCTTGGCTCTTGATTTTAATGAAACAATAGGTATGAATGGTGTACCAAGCTATTTTATTTAAAGACCCAGTATGTACTAACCTGTTTGTGCTTTTTTTTCCACATAATCAAGCAATCAGTTAAGTTGACACTTGTACGTTTGAAATATATGAATTATTCATTTATTGATGAATTGTGGGTTCTTACTAGAGTGAGTGTCCAACATAGGTATGCATATAAAACTCGATGTTCAATTCGGAGTACTGAAGATTTACGATGATCATGGTAGTACTCAAAGTTTAGTAGCTTTTTATTTGTAAAATGTAACTTGACAGAAAACTAGACCAAGGTTCTTATTGTAATTATTGTGAGTGTATCTAAAGACCACCAGCATATATTTAAAATCTGATATAAACAGTAATTTTAGCAAGATGAAGATTTTGTCAAATATTAAGCGTTAGATGACAGTCACTTATGAGAATTTAAAATTATAATGTATGAGGAAAGTACTCAAAACAAATATATATTCTGGTTGAACCAAAACTGAGAATCTCAGTGGGCGGCCGATGATCTGCAAGAGTAATAGGAGCAAGTTAGGAATTCTCAGTACTAGATATTTTGGTTATAGTTCAAGTTTATTACCCTAATATTCGCACAGATTAAGCTGGCTATTGGTAATTTTAAAGGACATGTTCGTACACCCCCATTTTCACTACAAGAACAAAAACAAAACCTTTTAAGATCGGTGTGATGAATGATTGACGTGTCGATTGAAAATTGCATTCAGCAAGTAACAATAACCACAACATTTTGTTCATGTAACACATCGCTCTACATGAAATCTGTGGAATCTAACCAAACTTAAAATCAAAAATAAATTCAGCTGACAGGATGAGAAATTTGCAACCATCTAAAGTTTCAATTTAATCTTTCCGCTAGTTTTGCTACAACCAAATATCAATCAAGTACAATTTAATATGGCATAAAGAGGTGAACTAAATATGGTTATCCTACAATTATTGAAAATATTTGAATTAAGAGTTACTGAAACTAATTTGCAAATTTTAGCAAGCGATCACTTGACCTATAATAAACTTAGATGGAATCTTCACAGTTATTTTTAGAAGACATTGATGATGAATTAGTGATGTATATTGAAAATACTCTATAAAATAGTTTCATGCACAGGATATTACGTGTAGTTAGAGAAGATTCTTTGAAGCGTTACAATTGTGATCTTTCATCTAAATTCATATGTAACACGTTCTATGTTAAAAAAAAACTTAGAATGCGATGTTGAACTAGTCGGGTCAACGTATGTTAAAAGCAGATTTCTATGATGAACTTTTAATTCTACATGTTTATGGAGAGTGAGCATATCACGAATTTTCTAAATAGAATATTAGCAGTGCTTCATTCGTTAACGTCTCTATGTGCTAAGATAACTCGGTATACATGAATACGGCTACTCATAGTCGTAGAACTGTCAAATGAGTAATAAAAATCACTGAGCTGATTGACAGTTTTTAAGAGGCTATTTCTTGTAGTATCAGACATTCAGTTACAAATTATTGTTCATAAATTACAAATCACTATTTGTTTACAGATTGTAACTCAATATAAAACTCAAGATTTATGTGTTCTTACATTAAACTTTTGTTGAGAATTGCTTATGCAAAATACGAAAACAAAGATTCTGTGCTGTAGTGTGGTTTTTTTATTGAATTCGAAAAGTTGCAATGAATTCAGTCGTGGGAAATGTCTATTTCGACTAATGGAAAAGAGATAAACTTGTATCATAGTAGTGTTCAAAAGAGTCGCAAAATTGATATGCTGAATATTATTCATATGCGTGTAAGACTTTCTCTTTAGTTTTGTTAATACTGTTGTCATTATATGCGCGTGTATCACTACCCAATGTTAATATTCTCAGTAAATTTTTGGTAGAATTAAACTGCACTGCCGGCCTTCAAATAAATCATATTGAATAACCAGAATGAAGATGATGGTTGTATAATTCACACAGATTTTCAGTGTCCTGTTACTTACTGGATAAAATGTTTTCGACGCGGTTTAGCATTATGAATAGCTTAATTGATGATATGATCGAAGATTACCAACAGAATATTAGACTATCGAAGAAAACATCTCACATAGCTATAGTCAGTAAATGATATGTAGAGATATTTGAGTCCTGAAGCTCTTTAAAAGTATCAAGTTTAGCATAAAAGAGTTGTTAGGATGCTGGCATTAAAAAAAACCAACATTTCTTAAAATCAATTCTCACATTTTTACGTCCTACACAATTTATTTACAAAAGCTACATTCTGATTGGACAATACTTGGTTGAACATTCCTAGAATCATTCAAGGTCATCAGTGTAGTTCAATTTTCACTTTTTTTACACATTTTATTATCTATATTGAGTAATTAATAACCTAGTTAATTAAAATTTTGCAATTTTTATTATTTTGGTAGGTATAAATAACACTTGTGAAGTGAATGAGTATCAACTTTTTCTTTTCATCTTACAATACATTCTAAGTTGTATTTGATTAACTGCAGGTGTTTTTCAATTCATACTTTCTATCTAAAGATTTTGTTAATGAATTTGTGTGTGACCTGAGTGTATCACAGATACATTCATTATACATACCACAAATACCTATTGAAAAATAATGCAAAAAAATGTGTCAACAACAAAAAACGCACACACACTTAAAAAAAAACTACTTTCATCTTACAGTAACACATATTTACACAAAAGCACACAATAAAACATTCTCTTCTTTAGGTATCCCCCCACTAAGCTAAACACCATTTATTTAACATACAATAAAATGTATTCATTGCAGAAGAAGGAAACTAAATATAAAAAAAAACGCAAACCAACAACACAACAAAAGATCAAATAATCATACTTATATTTGTGATACAAAAACAAAAAAAAAACAGAAGAGGTAAACAATTAAAAATATTTAATACGGACACAAAACTGAGAGAGAGAGAGAACAGAAAAAAAGAGGGAGGCGAAACAACACAAATAGGAAACAAAAAAGAAGAAGAGAAAAAAAAGGAGACGAGCCATTATTGAGTCGTCTGTTGTCAGTGGCTGTTAGACGTCACGTCGTATCAGTAATTTTATACATTCATTATATGTAGTATAAATTAATGATTGAATTCAAAAGAATGCACACACACACACACAGAAAAAGAAATGAATGCACAAAATTCAATGTAGTAGGACAAATAAAGACAGAGAAGTAAAAATTAAACAACTTCAATGCTACAATTACATGTTGTTGGTGTTGTGGTTGTTGTTGTTGCTGCTGTTGTGGTTGAAATAACAAATATCCTGTATTATTTATATATAAATATATATATATATATATGGATGCCATGCTGATTGGTAATTATGATGTGGCATGTTCAGTCAGTCAGTCAGTCAGTAGTATTTGTGCTGTGATACTAATAATGATGATTGTGCTGATGATGTTGGTGCTGAGGATCGATTGAGATACATAGGGATTGATGTATAATGTGATCTCTAAGTAAATTAAAATTAAGTAATAAGGTTTATACTTTGAGATTGTGAAGATATTTATGTATTTAAAATAACGAAAAAAAATAAAAATAGAAAAAACCTATGATGTTCAAGAGCTGACAGTGTGGTTTCTACACTGTTACATGCGAAAACTCAACAAAAACAGATGAATTTAACAATTGATTTGATTTCATTTCATTTCAATGCGTAAAACAAATAACACACTGAATAACAAACAATTCAAATTTACAGTGAACATTTATCATATACGTGATTATGTGTTGGAAACTACAACGTAGAACTTTGTACGTACGTCTGTAAGAGTACATCAGTTCCCGTTGCTATATCACATTAGCACAGAGATGCAATTGTCAATTCAAATCCCACAGTTGTAGAAGTTATAAGCAGTAATCGGAAAGTTTAGAGTGAAAAGAATTTAAAAAGAGTAAGGAATTCAGAAGATTAGAATTCCAAAGAACACAACACAGTGGATGCATCTGCACACCATTGTCAACAATTTCGATATTTGTCATTCAAAGTCTCTAACCATCAGTTACAAGTGTCTCATAGAACCTAACCCGGTAATATTTGTAAGAAATTCCTTAGATACTAAAAGATAAAGTGGTATGATAGGAACAAGATGAAAGATTGTTAAGTGCGCTGTCTGAGTTCCATTTCATAAGTAACTTGCTATGAGTAACAATGCTATTTTGTTTCTCTAGTCAGTTGGCAAGTGATTCTGCATTCTTTGACATTTATTTATTTAGTCAAGATTTAAGATCCGCTTTCTTCAGAAAACAAATAAAGTTCAATTACTTTATATTCATTTCATTATAACACTTTCATTTTCTCTATTTCTTATTCATTCAATAGAGATTAGTTGAATTCTAAGAAAAAAAAATTATATTGATGGCGAGAGTAACATGACAAACTATTATACATACTACAAATTGAGTAATAAGGTAACGTTACATTGACGATATCAAGCTTATACTATACACTTAATAAAATAAAATGTAATATGATTTATCTACAATGTAAGCTAATCACCAAATTTGAATAGAAAATTTTTTTTCTCTTCAAATCAATACAACAAAATAAATATATCATCTCACTTACTAAGATCATTCAATATGATTTAATCCATTCTCATCAGTAGTACTCTTATCATTGCCAATATGAATTGGTTCAGTAGATAAACTAGGACTTGCAAATGCCAATTTAATAGTAAATGGATATGTACATTCATCATCTTTAATTGGTTGATGATTGCATAAAGCTAAAGCTTCAAATGCTTCAGCATCTGTATGCCATTTAATAAAACCAGACGAAGATTTATCGGAACTTTTGGCAAATTGTTCAATATGTCTGAAAAGTTATAGAAAGTTAACATTTTCTGATTACACATAATCAATAAATACATAAACAGCTGTAAACTAATCAAATAAATAATCAGAACGCTGTTTGATTTGGTAAAGAAAATTAATCAATGAGGTTTGAGTTCAATGACACAGTAGTAATTCTGGCAGAAAACGAAACAGTGACGAAACAGTGTAAACTAATGGTTTATTTACAAAATATGCATGAGCTAAACGACAGACATTATTAAACAGAAAGTAAACGACACGATCAAAGTAGAATGAATAAAACTTGGAAATTTCAACAACTCTGATGACAATAAAGAACAACACTTGTAATTTAAGTGTTGTGGAATTCAACACTATTCATTAGATATTTGAATTCACTTAGCACAGAATGTTGTTGAATGTCATTTATTTACTGTCACATCGTCGTCACTAGGCATTCTGATTAGTTACGAAATAACAAGTTTCAAAATACCGAAAATTATGGCAGTTAAATTCATTTCTGTGCAGTAACCAAAAAAAAACGGGATTTCTGGTAATATTAACAATTATTATTGTACGTGATAAAACTACAGTTAAGCTTAGTATTCCACATTTACAAAAAATATGCTGAAGGTAGAGTGTGCAATTGGAAGACTATTAGCAGCAAACATAGTGAATCTTGACAGATAACATAAGTAGTATACAGTAAAATGTAGCGAAATGCGCTGGAAAACTAAAAAAAACTAGCGACAATATTTCTATAGGAATCAGGTTTGCTTAACAGTGAAAATGTTGAAAGGTTCATTACCATTTTCATCATTATTCGAGCAGTACAAAACCGTAGTGCTAATACGCTGGACGAAAAGAATAAAGTGAAGCATGAAATGGATACTGTGATGACGTAGTGGATTTCGTGACACATGCAGTCAAAAAGTAAAATAAAACAAGTTTGCAACTGATTCCAACCATAGTTGCTACATTGACGTGGTAATCAAGTTCGCCTATCACAATGACTGTATTGAGATTTTAATTAGCTGTAATACTTGCTCGTTTATATTCTAACTTATTAAGTACATCGGTTAGACAGTAATAAAACTAAATGATTTGAGGATACAGCCTTGGTGCAGACTACTGTACTGGGGTATAATGGTAGTAAAATATTTTCCACTAACAACGAGCATCGTGAATAATATTGCATTTGGTCACAACCACCGATCAACAAGAACATTACTAGTTCAACTATCTTTCCAGGTTCATGAAGAAGCATTCTTTTGTAGTTTGAGTGACTCGTTTAATAATACTTACCTTAGTAACTTGTATTGAATAAATTTAAGTCAAATTCCTAATTAATAGTAAGATATCAACTATTTGTGTTCGTTGACTTCTTAAAATAATACGTTTTAAACCTCAGCTGATTAATATATGAATGAATCTTGGTTAAAAGGACAACTGATCTTAAGATATGAAAAATGCAGCTCTAATGCTCTAAAAGATTTATAGTCATAGAGTGGAAATCAATTATTTCGGCAAAAGTTGAAATTCATTTAACCCGTTGTATGTAAATACTGTGCCTGTGCACAGAGAACCACAAGAGATCAATAAAAAACGAATTGAACATGGATATGAGATGGAAAGAATTAAGAGCACAGAACAAGTAGATGTTCACAAACATACGGAAGTGAATAAACACCCGATTACATTAAAACATATATGCATAAGTTATTTCATTCGAGATCCTCAACTGATAATTTCCCTACTGTTTTATAAGCTATTCACAGTTAATGCCTGCTAACAATCACATAAACTGAAGTATCTTTCCAACATAAAGTCTTATAGTTAACTTTATTGCAGTTGACTGTTTTCACAATAGGTGAACAAGTACCTTTAATCAAATAATGACCGAAGTGTCATTTTACTTAAGCTGGATTTTGTGAGATTTAAAAATAACCTATTAACTTATTGATTATTTCATTTAGTTCACTGGAATGATATACAATGAAATGCTAAGCAATATTGTTACTACTAATAGGATGTAAAATTCAAACAATTTATTATTAATTGTTCATGATGATTTTCAAATTATTCCAATGAAGTAAAGTGAAGTTTTTAAATTATTTTTTTTTTATAAGTCTACTATAAATATTTGTGTACACTAAAATAAATTATAGAAACATACTGAGGTTCAGAAGCTCCACATGCTCTTACAAACTGTAATAAATCATCAGTTGAAATTTTAGGAGGAGCATTCCAATAATGCAATGTACGTGAAGGTGGATGAATACGATTCTTTTTAGCCATAATTGCTGTAGTATACCTGTTATTACGATCTTTACTGTAATCTTTAAAAGAAGGAGAACCATCAGGTAATTGGAATGGACTAGACACATCCAAAATCACATCTTGTTTACTAGTTCGTACCTTAAAATTAAATGAAATACGATAAATAGGATGATGATGATGAAGTAGTAGTTGACTAATATGAATCTAAACCAAATATGACGAAATAGCATATGAATGAAATGATTATTAATGAAATAATTAGCAATTGACAATCAACACCGATTGGTACAATGTAACTCTAAACCTAATCGAAATGGAATCATTTTAATGAACGCTAGTTCTGTAATGTACAATACAATTTTTCCACAAACATGATATACATCTGCTTTCAAGTGTACACCATATTTAAGAAGATATATTTCACAGTTTAAGAAGTTATAACATATGATGCTTTAAATCATATAGATGGGAAATACTGACGTTTTTTGTTGTTGTTGATGAAATGATAATATACAATGTTGTTTTATTTAAATATGTAGTGAAGTCAATATTATTCATTTCCTATATCGTAGGCATGCAAATAATAATTATTAAAAGCTATTAAACGTTTAAAGTTGAATATCGAAAGCATCAAAATCAATGGAATTAGTTTAATTCATGATGATGTTTACTTTTATTTTTGAAAGTTCATGAATAATAGATGCTCTAATGAAACATATAGGTGGGGATAAAGAAAAATTAGTGTAAAACGAAGAATATAAACACAAGCAGTGAATAATGGAGAAAAGAAACCTGTAAAATCTTGCATGATGAATAGAATTTTCTATAATAGTGTACTCGTTAGAAGTACTTTATTTTCTGTTGGGATGTTGTTAACATGACAGAATTATTTCAAAAAATCAACATGAAAGTTTTGAATTTTTGAAAAGTATATGTCAAAGAATACAAAAAAAATCAAGATGAAATAAAGAGAAAGAGCTAAGCGAATAAAGAATAAATAACTACAGAATAACTATATACATTGATTGTGTAGACACCTGTACTGATATTATCGATATCGAATAAGAATGCCTAGCTTTTAAATACTGATATCTACTATCTTCTAAAGTGCAACGATACGACACAGCTACGTTTTTAAAGGGTATATTTTACTTATTCACCGTTTGATTACCAATCCTAAGGACAGTAGGGAGTCTCATCAGCGCTGATAGCCTGGTGACTGACGAAATCTCAGCTCGGATACAGAAAGCTCGATTAGATTTTGCCAATTTACGCCGTTTATGGCGTAGGCGAGATATCCGTTCGCTAATCAAAGGACGAGTGTACTGCGCAGAAGTTCGCTCCGTTCTCCTATATGGATGCGAAACATGGCCGTTAAGAGTAGAAGATGTTCGTAGGTTACTAGTATTCGATCATAGATGTCTTAGAAGCATTGCTCGCATACCGTGGGACAACCGAGTAAGCAATGCTGTCGTTAGGAAACGAGTACTAGGTAAGGATAGCAGATCAATAGATGAAGTGGTGAAACTTTATCAGTTGTGTGTTACGTATGCCTAACCACCGACTGCTTCGACGAGCTATGATTTGTGGTGTAGGAGCAGGTTAAAAGAAAGCTAGGGGCGGCCAGACCAAAACATGGCAGAAATCCATGAAGTCACTGACAAGTGGACTGAGTCATGTTGGTAGATGTAGGCTACCTAGTTGTGGTCCGCGAGACGAAAGTCACCAATGGTTAGAGACCTTGAATGACATGGCTCAAAATCGTTTGCAATGGCGCAGGTGCATCCACTCTTTGAGCTCTCTCAAATCCTAATCTTCTGGATTCGTCAGCATCTCTACCTTTGTCTTTCTAACCTCATCTCACTGAATTATACTTCTTGAATAATACCTTCGAACCGTAGTCTTCTTCATTACCATTAATACCTCTACTATCTTTATCATTATGAGATTTGATTTGACATTTGCATCTCTGTGTTAATGTGGTATGGCAACATGAACTTATGTACATACGTACGAAGTTCTACGTTGCAACTAACTAACTAACAGTGGCGTAACTATAGGAAAAAAAGGATAATTCCTAGGGTTTCGGTTACTGAAAAGGGTAAAAGACTGCAACACAACTCATGCAGAAATAATAGTTATGCTACTAGATGAGGATCTTTAGTCAAACAGCTAATACTAACGGCGTGAAACTTTCAGCTAGTTTGGCTAATAATTGCTGTTTATATTTGCTGCTTATAAAAATGAAATGGTTTTCACTATTGGCCAATAAGGATGATGATAGGAAACTCAAGATCCAAATGTATTTAAAAACCAATTAAAGCTTTTTATTTTATATTCAGCATACAGTTCAGAGTAAAACTATTTCTGTCTGTTTGGGCTCATAGGATAGACGAGAAAATACAAAACATAACCTTTTCTCTGTTGTCTGGATTTTAACTTGAATGCTAGTTTTACAGGTCGATAAGTAAATAAATATTTGAGTGGCTGATTTACTACATTGTTATAAAGTTAAAAGCAAAAGTTTCGATTACAATATTACTCACCATTAATTGGTTACCCATAAATGAAACACCTGAGATATTCCGGATTAAGCGAGTAGCTGAGTCAACATCTCCCATTTCAACCATAGCTGAACCTTCTTTAGTACGGAGAAATTTAACACGAATAACGTTGCCATAAACACACAAAATATTGAATATGCTAAATAGAGAAGTGGAATAAGTGTTAAGAATTACATAACAATCACAAGAAACAGTATGTTAATTGATTGAATAGATATCATGAAAAAATTCAACATATAAGATTTTATCTATATATTCTTATTTATTTTCCATAAAAAGTTTAAACTTCTTCTAAACTTCATCACACAGATGTAAATTAATGGTAGTTATTAATAGAGGGTTAAGTGATTTGCAAATTACATAATCTGAATCAATAAACCCCAAGGAAGAATGACACAAAACTAGGCATTTTAATACAAACTCTACTGAGCAATAAGCAACATGGTATCTGGTACGAATGGATGGAGGTTTGCGATTTTGTACACATTTGAAATCATCAATCAATCATTGCTAGACCACCATTAGAAACCTGGAAGCACTGGACGGCCGTTTCATCCAAAATCCCTAGATCAATCAGAGTTAGACATTAACACCGTTGGGTGCCGGCCCAGTGGTCCGATGGTAAGGCGTTCGCCTACAATGCCAAAGGTCCCGGGTTCGAATCCTGCGAGGAGCAGGAGTCGTGGGTGCGCACTGCTGATGAGTCCCATACCAGGACGAAACGGCCGTCCAATGCTTCCAGGTTTCTAATGGTGGTCTAACAATGATTGATTGAGGATAACGATCCCTTTTTTCACGTCCTATATCAGTGTTAGAGGGTATGGTGAGAATAAACCAAACTGACAGCATTCAGACATATCATTGCTCTGCTTATATTTGCTAATAGTAAGTGGTCCTTTAATTACAATCGTGTAGTAAAGGCATATTATTTTTGTAAAATAATTAAAAAATAAACTAACCGATCGCAGTTCATTTTATTCACATCAATATTGTATAGCATAACCACTGGAGTGCAGTTAGAATTTCTATTTCTATTTTGAGCACCATTTACTGAAGGGATATTAGGAGGAGCCACAGGTATGTTTTTAAATTCTGAGGGATATGAGCGTCCGTAATTGTTTGAATTTTCGTAAGGATACTGTCCATAAGGATGTTCGTAATCGTAATAACTCTCATCCGTATAACCTGAAGAATGAAAATAATGTTCCTAATGTACTTACCGAGAAGTGAGTTTTGATAATGTTGATCTTGAAAATTACACGATGAATCAGGTTCGCATTTCTCGAAGTCCCAGTTATCTTGATCATTTCTGGGCACAGATAACCGAGCTGGACGAGCATAGTCTACCTTTAAAGTACAACACCCTGGGAAAATATCTGCACCATTCAAATGCAGTTTTGCGTTGCGTGCTTCTTGAACACTCCCAAACTCCACCATTGCCTAAAATAATAGATAGATCTGTATTTTATCACTAACCTGAACCTGGGATTTTCGAAAGATGACTATTCGAAGGACATTACCGTACGAGAATGTTATTCGATAAATTGTTTCGACCGTTATAGGACGATCAGTATCGTAAATTGTGAATAAAAGAATATGATTATCTGCTGAAAGAGAACTTCGTTCATCCGCAGGAACTCTATTTGCAGCCCGCTGAACTATGTGTTTCGATGTGCTGAAACTGATTTGTACCAGGCTATTCAAAATTTTTATTTCGGGATTTCTAAGTGATAAGAATTAGAATAGGTAAATGATTATTAAGATTTTATCCCCTTGTAGATTTGAGATTCCTTCGTAAATGAGAACACAATCTTACACAAAATCTGGACGTATAAACCATTCTGACCACTTGTGAAGATTGTACACCGAAATTTTTAGAATATTAGCCTGCTTATAGTTAGATAATTAACATATTCTAATCTATTTTTCGATTAAACTAGTGTTGCTCCAGTTTTTTTCTTTTTAGAGGTGAAGAAAATAACTATCATTAGGTCTGGTCGATTCTAGCCATTATGTGGACTAAAATGTTGACCATTATGTAACTACAGTCACAGTAAGGTATGGTGGGCTGAATAATTTAGATTCTGAAGACTACCAACCTAAATATTTGCTTTCTATTGATGAAAAACAACGGTAAAAAGAACTATCACTTTGAAATCTAACCTAATTAGGATAAGGATAAAGAATATTTTTATGAGATTGATGATTTACATTAAGGCAAACAACATACTAGTAGATATTGGAAACCATGTTGTTCTCATTAAAATCCTCAGCCACTTTCCAGATCTTTTACACTGAGCTTAAGATTTTGTCTCGTTATATCTACACTTCACTGTAAAATACCTATTCGTAATGATTGAGTCACTAGAAAACGTAGTAGATTGTATTTGATGAATAAAACACTCCCAACTGCTAAGTAAGTCAGTCAGCTAAAACGTTGAACTTCATACATACGTACATCAGTTCAAGTTGCTATATCACTGCACAGAGAAATCGAACTGCCAGTCAGAATAACACAGCAGTAGAGGTAGCAGCTGTACTAGCGGTAATGGGAAAGATTAATGAGCGAAGATATGGTTAAATTTAATGAAATAAATTTAAAAAGAGAGAAATAGGTTATGTGGAATTCAGAAGATTAGAAGTTACAAGACGAAGAATGGATGCACCTGTGCCCTTGCAAACGATTACGAGCCATGTTACTCAAGGTCTCTAAACATCGGTTACTATAGTCTCGCGGACTCCAACCAGGCGGTCTACATCTACCAACATGGCTCAGTCTACTTGTCAGTGACTTCATGGATTGCAGCCATGTTTTGGTTTGGCTGCCCCTAGCTTTCTTTCAACCTACTCCTACACCATAAAACATAGCTCGATGAGGCAGTCAGTGGTTGGGCATACGTAACACATGTCCGAACCACATCAACTGATGTAGTTTTACTACTTCATCTATTGACCTGCCATTCTTACCTAGCACTGCTTACTCGGCTGTCACAGGATATACGCACAATGCTTCGGAGACACATGTAATCGAATACTATCACCCTACGAATATCCTACATTCTCACTGGCCATGCTTCATAGACATAAAGTAGGACAGAGCGAACTGCTGCGCAGTAGACTCGTCCTTCTTTTGGTAGAGAGATATCTCTCCTACTCCATAAGTGACGCAAGTTGGCACAAGCCAGTTAGGCGATCTGAGTGTTAAAATAAGTGAAGCGGTCAACACGCTCAACTACTTCACTCCCTATCACTAGTTCAGGTGTCGATGCTAGCCAATCCTGAAGCAACATTTTGCATCTCGATGGGGAGAACCACATCACGAACATGCTTGCATTGTTGCTTAGGGTAGTCAGAAGACTCTGCATTTTGTCAGCGTCTTTACCAAGTAGAACTATGTTTTATATCGATTTGCCATTCAAGATGAATGGAGTTCGTGGTCAACCGAAGTGTGGTTGAAGCCAGCTGAGTTGGTCGTTGAAGTGTTCTGCCCATCAATCCAATCTCCTGGATTGAGAATAAATGATACAGCCATCCTTTACTGAGATAGTTTCGCTAACAGATGGATTTCTAATACTAGTTCTCTTGATTAGGCGGAACAATCGTCTACTGTTACCTAACATCGCTGACTTTGCCATCTCTCTTGCTTTCGCTACCCACCACTGTTCGCAACCAGTAGTGCTCAAGTAGAAAGTCTGTACACGGTTAATGTACTTCGTTTGTTCACCTTTCAATAACAGACACCAGCTTGGTTTTCTCGAGTGTGCTCTTCACGAGCGCTAGTTAGGCCTTGAAGTATTACTGAAGTTAATATTCCGAACACAGTATTAGTAAGACTGATTCCTCGGTGACTGTCACAAGAAGATTCTAGTTCTTTTTTACAGACTGGGATATCCAGGGATTGTTTAATTTATCTACTTGGTTATCAAAATCACCAGCCACTATCGCTACATCAGAGCGCTCAGATTTTTGAAAGAGCTGAAAATACTACTGTAGAATTCATCCTTCACCTCATCAGTAGGAGCGTAGGCAGAGACAACGAAGAGGCAACAGTGAGTGTTCCTAACATTCCGAGTCCTTATTGTCCTGTTGAATAGGACAGAGCACAGGCAACTGTTTAGTTCTACTGTAGAACTCAATGCTATACCTACACTGATGAGGCCACGAGAAGCAGCAGTTGGGTTTTCAGATACAAGAAAGGTATATCGTGATAGCTATTTATCTTGATAAGGTGAGTTCAAATCAGCGACTCTATTTGAATTTTGTATACGCGTTTCCGAGACGCAACATATATCAATAGTGAGAGATTCTAAGAAGGAAGGAAGCCTGTTGCTGTATTTGGCACATGGTCCGAACATTAGGAGATACAGCATGTAGTTTAGGGTGGGGTTTTAAGAGATCAAAAATAGAATTTCGAGTACTCATATTGTCATCATTAGGTTCGCGAGGTGATAAAGGTACATAAGAAGGGTTAGTCGTAGAGGCAAGACAGATGTTTGGAAGTGAGGGAAAGATTAGATTGTGAGCAGGTTGATCTTGTGTGTGGTTACGGGTATGAGGGCAGATGACGCTTCACAGTTGCTCACACCGAGGAAAGATATTTTTTGAAGGCCCTGAAAAAGAAGTTCAATTAGTGTCGACCTTAGCGACCAGGGAGCTTGATAGTAGAGCTAATGGTACAACTGCTTGAGGTCGGTCATGCACGGCCTTTTTATGGGAGGTTTTAGCTTGGATCTTCAAACAACTTACTCGCGGATACGGAACTCCGTGGGGTAAGGTGAAGTGTGACATTCTTAAGATCGACCTTCTCTAACCCCTTCTTTCCGTTCTGAGAAGGCAGATGCTAGCCAGTCAGTCAGTCAGTAACAACATGGAACTTCGTACGTACGTATACCAGTCTGTTGCCATATCATGGTAGAACAGAGATGCGATTGTCGATTCAAATCGCATAGTGGTAGATGTAGTAGGAGTATGAGCAGCGATCAAAAAGACTAACGTTTGAATATCATTCGGGATATATACAGCAGAGAAATCAGTTAAAAAGGAGAAAAAACGGCTACAAAGAATTCAAAAGATTAGGATTTGAAAGAACAGAAAAAGTGGATACACAATCGATGAGCCATTGCAAACGGTTTTGAGTCATGTCATTCCAGGCCTGTAACCATCGATTATGATCATCTCGCGGACTTTAACCAGGTAGTCTACACTTACCAACATGACTCAATCCCGTTGTCAGTAACTTCGTGCCATGTTTTGGTTTGGCCGCCCCCGGTTGTCCGAGAGGAACACCTTATCGCTGTCACACACCTCTACAGACAGCAGTACGACTTCAACCTCAGACCTTAAGTTGCTAAGTTTTAGCGCTACCGTTCTCCAATGAACCTATCTAGCATGGTAGGAACTAAGGGAACAGGTGTTACAGCCGATATAGCTCGGTTGGGTCACCCCAATCGACAAGCTGGACTACGGCATCTGGGTGGCAGCTACGGTCAGGCCAATCGGTTTGTTATATGTGACGTAAAACCAACAAAGGCTATTAATAAATCCTAAGTAGTAAAATCTCATATCAAGAAAACCAATATTGCGAGGACAGAAAGTGTTGTGAACAAATTCACCAAAGTAACGCAAAGTTTGAAGTAAAGTACTTAAGAAATTTATTGCAGATATTTCAAGGAAATGTCTGAGTTCAAAGTCTGGTTTACTTTAACTGCAATTATGGATATATGTATACACTAAGACGATTATGAACGTGTTGGTATCACTTTATCCTTTGCTGACATCAGCATATATCTCCCATTCCGTTATTTTAATTTTAATAATCTTAAACGTCTACACCTATCTGCGAAATAGTGACTTCCAAACTACTGTCTGACAAATTTTTGCTATTTGACTAACCAAAAAAACGAAGCTAATGAAGATCTGGGGCCATTCCCTAGCATTAAGAGGCGGAACACGATCTCTAAATGGAAAGATATCATCGATGTGCGGTTTGGCATTGATTTGTGATACTAGGGAAAAGAGTAGTATACTGAGGACGATGATCAGTCTAGTGAGGTCTAAGAAACAAAACGTTCTGATTACAATTCTGATAAAGATCAGGTTAAAGTAGTCAGATGACAATTAGATTGAAATACCACCACTTATTCAGTACCAACAAAAAACCCTCAGACACGACAACATACCTTTTAATTAGTGTTTCAGCTGACGATATGTCCTCGAATTCAACCAAAGCTTGTTTTTTCTGAGGTATCATTGTTACGTCGCGAATACGCCCATAGGGTTCAAATGCCTTCACAACATCTATTTCCACACAATGCCTTGAAAGACCTCGGACATGAACAACTGGGGAAGGTTCAATTTCATTCCAGTCTTCTGGCCGACTTCGTTTACGAGTTGAGTTTGTGCCCCGATCGGACATGGTAACGAATAGCTTGTAAATAGCGGCTACAGACGTCCTTTGTCGTAAACGTCAATCGACTAATTAAAACTCAGAGCTTATGGAGGATTGGAAGAAAGTCATTCCTAAATATCATGGCTTATAAAAGACTCATAAGGCGATGGTAGAATCATGTTCACTGTTCGTGCAGTATCCGTGACCCGAATTTCAGTCCTAATTTGCTACTTTATTTTTAATTTTTCGCCTGATGATTAGGTATACGACTGGAAAAGAGCTAAAATTATGCGAAAATCGGTGCTAAAGTCTGAAATTTTTGAGTTCTTTCCTTATAAACAATAATAACTAGAGGTGATATCACTATTTAGTTTTAAGTATAGGAATTTAATCAACCCATAAAATAGTTGCACTTTATAATACTGTGAAAATTCAGTCTTGATACACATATATCAACAACTGTTGATATTAAGTGTTCTAAAAAAGAATCTCAGTGACTTTACAACCGCTTCAAACTTACTACAAATACTCGCTGCCCGAATCAGATACAGTCTCACAAACATCGTGTATGATGCTCTGAAAACCTAATCCAAGAAGTAAAATAACCTGCGAATATCTCATAATATCGTGAAGCATTCTAGAGCATTAGCCAAAAATAATTACTCGTAGTCGTAAGGCCATTGCATATTATGATTTGAAGATCTTAATTTACACACTGCTTTGCACAATGTCATCTCCCTTATTGTATACTGCCATCTATTTCCCCTTACTCTGGAGCATCAAATCAGAAATACTTAGAAGGGCGATAAATACACACGAGCGGCATTTCAATTCTTGTTTGTTTGCTTCCTCTCGTAGCTGAAATTACTACGCTGACACATTATTTGCTTTCAGTAATCAAGTCAGCAGTGCAACTTGCGCCAACATTCCTTCTGTCGGATGTCAGAAGGCCCATCGTCTCCGTTGCTATTAAAATCTTATTTGAATAGTGAAACATACAAATTCAGTGGGAGTCGGGTTTCGAATATCTTTTGCATGCGTTGAGCTTTAAATCGTTAGACATCTTGCGAAACTATTAATTGTACTTATCACACTGTTTTCCTTTCTTCACTGGGAAGAAACTGTCCTCAGTCAGAGGTACAGATAACCGGTTGCAGCAGATTTATGGGTAACACAAATTTCAACAAAATCCCAAGGCACAAACTAGTGTGATAATCAGCTAAAGAAAAGTACCACAAAACGAACTTGAAGTTTCAAACTTGAACCCAAACAGTTATCTCAAACCGCTTAAACTTTTAGTGTAATAAATACAAGAAAGCACAGCCGGTTTACCAGAATTAGGAAAATCAATTCTCTCTTTCAAAATACGCTCCTGGAAGCTCATTCGATTTGCAGTCGTAAGGATGTGATTTAGATATTCTAAAAGACCAGCAACTTCTAATCACTCAAATGTCATTACCTTTCAATATGACAGCTAAGGGAATAATGATATGTTTATCGAAAATCCGCGGTGTTTAAACACATCGAATTACAGAATGTTTGTGAAAATTAGCAACATATAATTCCTATATGGTATTTTCCATTTCAGCCACACACCACTGTACAAATGGAGATGGAAAATAGACTGTGAAGCGGTGATTATGTCTGTTACCCCTTACTGGATACAGCTTATGAAACGTAAACATTCAGATGGATTGAAAAGTTATTGAGGTTTTCAGTATGGAGTTGTGCGACAATAGAATTGCATTGAAATAAATAATTGTTCGACTTTAAACCACTGCTGATGTCCTGGGGGGCATCAGTGAAGCTACATCACATCAGGTGTGAGGCAGTTACTCACCGAAGGCCATAGTCTATTGTGGGTAGATTGACATACTTACTTACTTACGCCTGTTAACCCCAATGGAGCATAGGCCACCCACCAGTTTTCTCCAACCAACTCTGTCCTGGGCTTCCCTCTCCAGTTCTGTCCAATGTTTGTTCATTCCTCTCATATCTTTCTCTATTTCTCGGCGTAGTGTGTTCCTTGGCCTTCCACTTTTCCTTTTGCCGAAAGGGTTCCATGTGTGGGCATGCCTCGTGACGCAGTTAGCTGCTTTTCGTAGTGTGTGTCCTATCCACTTCCACCGCTTCTTCCTCATTTCCTCCTCCACTGGAATCTGGTTCGTTCTCTCCCACAGTAGGTTGTTGCTGATGGTGTCTGGCCAACGAATCCGAAGTATTTTGCGTAGACAACTGTTAATAAACACTTGTATCCTCTGGATGATGGCGTTGGTAGTTCTCCATGTTTCCGCTCCATACAATAGAACTGCCTCGACATTTGTATTGAAAATGCTGATTTTAGTTTTGTTTGAAAGTTGTTTGGAGTTCCAGATATTTTTCAACTGTAGAAATGCAGCCCTTGCTTTGCCAATCCGTGCCCTCACATCTGCATCCGATCCACCTTTCTCGTCGATGATGCTGCCAAGATATGTGAAGGTGTTAACGTCCTCGAAAGCATCTCCATCAAGCGTGATTTGTTTGGTGCATGTTGTGTTGCATCGAAGAATTTCGCTTTTTCCTTTATGTATGTTGAGACCTACTGCTGCAGAAGCTGCTGCTACACTGGTCGTCTTCTCTTGCATTTGTTGTTGAGTGTGCGATAGAAGAGCTAGGTCATCCGCGAAGTCCAGATCGTCCAACTGCGTCCTAACTGTCCAGTTGATACCGTGCTTCCCTCCAGACGTTGACGTCTTCATAATCCAGTCGATGACCAGGAGAAAGAGAAAGGGTGAGAGTAAGCAACCTTGCCTCACACCGGTCTTCACCTCAAAAGAGTCTGTCAGCTGACCTCCGTGTACGATTTTGCTGCTGAATCCATCATAAGAATTCCGTGTGATGTTGACTATCTTCTCAGGCACACCGTAGTGTCGAATAAGCCTCCAAAGTGTTTTCCTATCCACGCTATCGAATGGTTTCTCGTAGTCAATGAAGTTGATGTAGAGTGGTGAGCTCGCTTCAATTGATTGTTCTATAATGATCCGTAATGTAGCAATTTGGTTAGTACATGATCGATGCTTACGAAATCCGGCCTGTTGATCTCGAAGTTGGGCGTCTACGAAGTCCTTCATTCTGTTTAACAATACCCTGTTGAAGACTTTGTCTGGTATTGAAAGTAGAGTGATGCCCCTGTAGTTGTCACACTTGCTGAGATCGCCTTTCTTTGGTATTTTGATGAGGTATCCTTCTTTTCAATCTGATGGTACTTGTTCCTCATCCCAAATCTTCTTGAAGAGGATGTAAAATATTTTCGCAGTTGCTTCTACATCTGCTTTCATTGCCTCTGCTGGAATGTTGTCTGGTCCTGCTGCTTTGCCGCTCTTGATTTGTCTGATGGCCATACTGATCTCCTCAATCGTATGTGCGCCAATATTAATTGGGAGGTCCGTGGATGCTGCTTCGATGTTGGGTGTGTTCAGTGGAGCTGGTCGATTCAATAGTTCCTGAAAGTGCTCTACCCACCTGTTTCGCTGTTGTTCAGTGTTGCTGATAACTTTGCCTTCCTTGCTTTTCACTGGTCGTTCTGGTTTACGATAGTTTCCGGCCAGCTTCTTTGTTGTTTCGTAAAACTGTCTCATGTTTCCTTCTCTTGCAGACTTTTCCGCCGTCATTGCTAGATCTTCCACATATTTTCGTTTGTCAGCTCTGATGCTCTTCTTCACTTCCCTGTTTGCTTTTGTGTATGCAGCTTGTGCGGTAACTTTCTCTGCTCTTGTTCGGCTGACATTGATTGCTGCCTTCTTGTTCCTCCTTTCTCCAATTTTGTCAAGAGTACATCATCAGTGTACAACATCAGTGCAACTCCTTGTGTATGTGAAGCATTTTCCTCTTCATGGCGAGAGTATGACGGCAGTTCCCCTGAAGCTAGTCACAGTTGTCCTACGTGTGTCCAGTGCACTCAATTCTTCAGCAGCTTGAAATAATCTTCCAGTCTCCCACAATGTATGAACGTTTCATGTACCTAAAATAATGGTTGCTCTGGTTGTGAGTAGGGGCATCGGCCCCGTGACTTCCGAGGGAACTCGGCTTTCATCACGCGACGTCATGATTCTTCTTCCAACTCCCAGGACAGATTGAAAATGGTTTGAAGTATTTTTCCTGGTTAATGTTTTTTGGCAAGTTAGTTCTAGTTGTGAGTGGGGCGCCAACCCCATGTCCAGTACATCCTTTTTTATCCGGACTTGGGACCGGCAGTAGCCCCAAAGGTTCTGCTGGCGGAGTTGGGTTGATTGACCCTGGATATTAAAATAACTGGACGCCAACTCTGTCGTATAGTGGTTCTCACCATCAGTCTCGCGTGCTCCTAAATGAGGGCTCTCATACCGGCATATGGATATCATATACTGGTTTCAGGTTTTCAGTGGTAATCCAGTTTGATGAAGTTCACAAGGCTGCTGCGTGTTTTAATAATTTTTCCTGTACAGTGAGTGGTGGCTTACGTCCTTTTTAGTTAGATCACATTAACCACAAAGAATTGCGAAAATTGAGAATAGTTATCAAATATTGTGTATGATCCTACTATTGGTTCCGTCCTACGTACTCGAACCTAAATGCTATAACATAATCTTTAACTACGAGTTTTAGTATAACCAGATAATGATAAACTAATTCGTAATTCATAATTAAAGAAGGCCAACGAGTGTTAGTGTAACGCTTAACAAACCTCGAAGACAAATAGTTCTGTAAGTCTTCGACACCGATGCTGACCTTGTTATTTATGGTGAATGAGGCGCCTGGCCACTCATCTGCCCTAGATCACCATCAGGTACCTTGTGCTATGCATTCCTTCGCATAAGCTACCAAGTTTAAATTACTCATTACTCGCTATTCAAACGATCATTCTGAATACCCCTTCGATTTCCTTCATTTCCGACTTCTGGTTAGACTGGTTTTTTGGGCGTTCTCAACCATAAGGCTGTTGTGGACCAAAGAGTCGACAGACGTTGAGTACCTGTTTAGTGACTATGATCACCACTAAGTAATAATTACGAGCCCGTCACTGAAAAGATAAATAAGTCCAGGGTAAATAATATATTTGCAGAGGATTTCGTGGTGTCGGAAGAACACCGAAATTACACCAAGAAAGTAGGTGAAATAAAGAGCAGCTATATAAAAGGTGGCAGCAACACAAACAGAAAGTTTTACGTGAAAAGGTTTTATAAACAAAAAGTGCAATTAAAAATCTGGTGGAATTTGTCATAAAAATGAACGTTTTCATTTCACTAATCGCATTCCCCTCATAAAAGTATTCCACTGCACCTGTTACATTCTCTGTATTATCAAGAACTGTATTTTCTTTTCTCTCGCTAAAGATGAGTTTGAAAACGATGTACCCAAAAAATGATGTATAATAACAAGAAAAAACAAAACTAAGATTACTTGAGCTTTCATTGTCACAGTTCTACTAACATCTATACGTAGCAGAGATTTTCCACTATATTACGGTTTTAAACCAGCTGAGAAGTTGTAGTTTGTATTTTTAACTTTTACCTGGATGCGTACATTGTTTATTCTGCCTATTGCATGTTTAGCTATTTTTTTTGTCTGACTATAAGTAATTAGTCATGCCTAATCACATTGAGTAGGCCCACAAGCCTTTTCCGCTTTATTTCGCTTCTCTTTTGCAATTCCCTTTATTGTTTTTCTGCTTACGTGAATGTATGAAATGAATTGATCAACAGAGCCGTATTGGACTTTTAATTTCCGCTGTATCACGAACAGGGTTCTTCTAAGAGTGATTTCTTTCGCAGCATATTCATTTTTTAGTAAAAATTCCAGTCAGATCTCGGGCTACAAACAAGTTTATAAACTCTTCTGCATTAAGCTCTTTCTTGATAAAAAGGAAACCATTTAAGATTGAATATTATTATTAATTCCTACCACTCTACAGCGAATCAGATTCATACAAGTTGATTTATTGCATCAGTTTCCCGATTTGCCGGAATCTGCTTTCTATGAGAAGTATCTTATATCAAATTTATATTGAAGAAGGGAAGAGAATTGTTTGCTAACGTTTCCCTGTGACCTAGTGGAAGGTAACTAGGCAATGACGTTAATGTTGGTTTCCAATTAAAGTTAACGCCCTGAAACATGTTTGTAACTTTGAACTGTTTTGACTTTCAATCAAGGAACCTTATCACAAGTTAAATTAAACCCATCCGATAAACGAGAGAGGCTTATCCATAACTCTAAAATGACGCCTAATAATAGTAATAAAAATGTGTGATAAAAATTTGGGAGTTATTTGCATAAAAAGAGACTGTATTCCACTAACTACATTTTAAAAATCTACATATTTTTCAGTTGATTTCGTACTTCCAAACCTCGCTCGTTCATATAATCCTTTGTTTCGTTGTCACACTATTGTCCTTTTTTTACTGACTCATCCGGACATATTGTTTTAACAAGCCATCTAGCAAAAACAATTTAGTTTGAGCAATCACTCCTTGAATTTATACAACAAGTGATTCAGCCTCAATGCTTATAAGCGTCGCCTGCACTGTTGTTTGTTCTATGCTCTTTTTTTCAAACCCACCATTAAAAATCAAAGGACTATGAACACTTCTATGAACCAATTAAGCTTCTATCCCAAGTATTACCCCAAATGTTTTATCAGAAAGAAGAAGACATGATAGACCTAATGAAATAGGTGTATTTGCTGGCAATTTCATGGTATCGAAGGAATACCGAAACGTGCCAGGGAAGAAGCGAAGGTACAGAGCAGCCGTAGCATGATGGCGACCTCAAAGAGGAAAAGCGCATGACCGTAGTAAATACGCCATGAACATATCATATCAAATTATTTGTTAGTTTTCTTTTACTAAATTAATTTTAAGAGAGTTAGTACTAGGTGGTTTAGTTATTCATAGCAGTACATCTAGTTTTTCAAGTTACTTCATTTGAACCGTAATAGTTCTTAATCAGTATCATACTAACTGGTTATTGGTAGGGTAGCTAACATTTATTAGTCAATAAACTGTTATTATTTGACAGTCAATTGTTTTCCAACCCTTACTAACCTATTTGTGTTTCTTCTATAATCCATTAGAAATAAAGTTCTATTTTTTAATGTTGAAGTAGCTGTTAAATTGTTCCAATGTTTTCTAGTAAAAAAATATCCCATTTTAAAAACACGCGCATTTGATGAAATTTCTTTTAAAATTATACGATAAAACAGATAACCTATCAATTCATTAAATCCTTTAATCCTTCAATTTAGTGCATTTCAAATAACAATTTGAATGGGTCATTTTGTTTTGATTGGATTAAAATTCATTCTCAATTGACTTATTATGCATTAACTAAAAAGAAGTCGAATAAAAACACTCAAATTAACTGCACACCAATCAGAATACTGATCATTATTGATTTTCGCAATGATGTTTTTTTTCTTTTGATATTTTCTTTGTATATCTTTATTTTGATTTTTGTGTTTGAGTTAAAATTAAATCACAGATTTAATCAATAAATTTTATACCTTAAATTTTTATTGTTTAGTGCTTGAATCGAGAGAAACAGAGAGAAAGAAACAATTTGTTTTATCACAATTCGACTTTTTTGAAATCACAAATAATTCAGTATCATATTTTGTACCATTTTATGCATAAAACAACATCGTAAATATTTTATTGTTTTTTTTGAATATAGATATATAGATATATATATATATATGTATAATTCTGTAAGTTTACATTATGACAATCTGAAATTTATTATTCAAATGTATTTTAATGTATGAATAATTCTATGTGATTAGTATTTGGTTAGTAGTAATCAACAATAGATTGTAAATTATATGGAATAATGATAAAACGATTAAAGATAAGCAGAGGTAAATGAATCACTGATTTTATGTCAAGGCAAATGATGTTGGATTCTATAAGTTAGAGGGTTTGTATGAGAAGTTTTCATTGCAGCTATGAATAAACTTATCTTTATTAGTGGTAAAAAGGCTCTTCTATAAATATCATATTTTTGTTATGATTATCAGATTTGATTGTTTACAATATTTTTTTTATAGTTTCATATAGTATTTTGTATTCTGATTGACTATTTCGTTAGGTTAACTTCTGACCATGGGATGAATTGATGTAGTTTGCGTAGAAAAATAAGTTAGATTTGTTTTAATATACCAATTGAGCCAAATTGAACAAACAGATTTGTAGAAATTCTGTAACAAGCTTACCATTTCTTCAGTCTAGAATTTCTACGTTCTTAATTTGATCTTGCATCTATAATTGTCTACATCGTCGGTAGTTTTTAACACCTAACTGCCAATCCAAGTTCATGCTTAGATAGATGATAGACGTAATTTTTTGCTTTGTTTAATGAAGTTGTTCTTGCGCTTTGAAGAATACATGTTGCACAGTGTTCCTTTGATGATTTGTCCTTTTGTTTAATTAATATGTTACAGAATAATTGTGTTCTCTTGTGGACAACACTAATTCCAGAAAGACTAAGAAAACTTTGCAATTCATAATCTGCATCATAATATCAAAAACCTTTGAAAACAATTTTATAAGTCACAATGTTCTATTACTTACTGATGGTAATAATAATAATATCAATGGCGTTAATCTTTTTTCTTATATTAGTTCATAAAAGTTCAACTATATGATTTGATTGTTCACAGCATTACATTTAGTTTATTTATTATTTCGTTTAAATGACTGTTGATTGATTGTATTAAAATTAATTTCATAGTTCAAGTTTTCATTATATTGACAATTGCAAACAAAAGTCTTTCTGTTTAACATGTAAACTATGAAGAAAGTAAACATTTCTTCTATTAAATTACAGTAGACTCTATGTAATTCTTATATATAAGATTAACTCAATTATTAAAGATTTGATTTGATTTAAACAAAATCTAAAACAATAAGTTCCTTTAATAAATGCTGATGGAAAAATGAGGTGGAAGTGATGTGAAAAATGTGATGTATTTCAGCTATACATTTCGAACAATGTGGTCACATATATACCTGGTTGTGACAAGGTTATAACAAACTGTATGTACAGAAACAATCGGTTATAACCTTGAATTTATCCTGATAATCTTTAAGCCATTTTATGGCCTCGGGTAATGTGACAATCTCCTATCCTTTCTTATTCCTTCCATATTAGATTAATTTTCTCTCTCCTTTATTTATGATTATCGCTTTATGTTTATTTGAACTTTTATTGAATTGACCTGTTATTAATTTTCATATAAAATGCCTTGACAAGTAAATATGTGCGACCAGACTGTTCGAAATACATAGCGCAAATATATCACAGTTTTCAGATCAGTTACGTCTTCTTATTATTCTATTAGACAAAATCATTCTAAAATTATAATGTTTACTGAAAATATGAGTATATACAAGTTAACTATGAACCAAAACATATATCTTAACAACATTAAATAGCTAAGCTGTGTATTTATTTAAGTACTTCTCTATAGGTACTAGTGAACGGACAGATGTTTCATGTTGACATCAATATAGGTCAGGCTGTGGAGATTGTAAAATTTTTACAGTTTAAAACATGAACTGATCTTTAATAAACCAGCATTAAAAACTAATAAGCACTGGAAAGTTTAGTCTTTTGAATCAACCGAAGTTAAGAAATTTTACTATTGATTACTGGATGAGAAGTCTGTAAGGTAAACAATCATAGTCAAGTCTGAGGATCCTGCGTTTGATTTCTAATGGCACAATCGTGATTACATACTAGAGATGATAAACTCTCCTTTGCTTCTTGATTGTCACTGGTGGTAACTCAAGCAGTGTACATTTAAACAGATAGGTCAAAAGTGAATACAAATGAGGATAACATAAAATATGGAAATGTTTCAAATGTTAAATCAATTCACTTCGGTTCACACGATCAGTTTATATCATTTAAATTTTGATTAACTGATTCAAAAATAAGAAACTTATTAGTATCTGTAGCACAATGAAATCACCAATCAAGCACTCATTGTTACACCACCATTAGAAAACTAGAATTACTGGACGGCCGTTTCGTCCTGATATGGGACTCATCAATAGTGCGCATCTACGACTCCTGGTGGTCTAACAATGATTGATTGATCATTTCAATTTGCAACAAACACTAATCTCCATAAATTTTATTTGAAAAAAATCAGAACAGATTACCTTAAAAATGTATGAAAACTGTTAATTACATTACTTTATGATATAAAAGTTGAAAAAATTCAGTCATAAACTGATTTCATCTGACGTTGTACTGTTTAATCGGAAAAAAAGCAATTTATTTTATCATCTCAACATTTTTCTAACAATAAATTTTGGATTGGTTATTCGTTTCGATAAAATTATCCAAATATTTATCAGTCACCTTTGTAAACTTGATGAATGATTTTGAAATTTTGTACTGAGATAAAAGATTCAAAACTGTAGTATTGTTTGTCAGCATTAAGGTAGTATAAAGATGTTGATATGTTTAATTTTTTTTTGGATAACTTTTAGCATTGTGTAGCGGAAGCAAAGATAAACGATTAACTATTTTATTTAGTGAATTTTTTTTCATTATATAACATTTTTTTTATAAATTATCTTAACAAATACTTAGAACTGTGAGGAAATATATATATAAGAAGACAATATGGTTGTTTTTTGAGCGTAAATTTATGCATGTTCTTTGAATGTCTATAACAACTTTGATATTATCTTAAAAAGAAAGAATAAATGAACGAATTATTGAGAAATAAGCCGAAATCAAAAACAGTCGTATGTTAGTTTAATTGAATTAAATTCATATTGACTTTTATGTTGAATATTGAGTATCATCCTGTGGTGCATTGTTTTAATTTTGTCTCAACAACTAGTCAAGATTCAATATATTATTAGTGTAGTGTTTGAAGTCACAAAAGATGGTGACTTGATAAATATGAAGAGTTTTGAGAACTTCACATTCAACAAAATCTAATCTCATTAAGTTGATTCATCTTCTAGTGTGTTAGACGAATATTTGAATTGAATATCTTGTACAGATTATCATTCATTTTTATTGACAATTTCTCAGGTCGATAATGTCATCAGCAGAAGTTGAAAGTTCACGGCATTTGATAAGCCAACCATTATGGATAAAAGATCCTAATTATTTTGATTTACAAAGTTCAACAAGATCTGATTATTTATGGGATCCAAGAAGTTCACGAAAAACTGAACCTGAAGGAATTCGTGCACGTAGTTTTAAACCAAAAGTAAGCTAAAATACAATTATTAACATACATGATGTCTGTGTATTGAGCAAAAATAAGTATTTAACGAACTAAATTCCAGTCTCATACTTTTTTACGTAAATTCTAGCTCGTATAAATGACAACTTTTTTATTTAACACTCCTACAATCAACTACATGTTTTGTTAGTAACCATTTGGTTTTCGATCAATGATATGTTCAGGTCTATTAGGACCATACACTTATAATTTCAGTAGTGTGTTGTATCATTTTGTCTTCGTAAAATAAATATCATGAGTCATTTATCTAAAGTGTTATCAGAGGCCACTACACAAGGAAAACGAACTAATAATGCAAAGAATCTCAACGAACAACAGATCCAACTTACAATGTGTGACAAACATTTACGTATTTGTATTAAAACAATATACTTTCAGTGAAATTACAAAGTAAACCGGAAAGGACTACGGCTTGAATACTATAGTACATATAAGCAAGATAAATCAATCAATCAATAGCAACGTAGAACTTCGTATGTACGTACGTACATCAGTTCATGTTACCATACCACATTAGCACAGATGTAATTGTCCATTAAAATCCCATAGTAGTAGAGGTAGTAAAGGTATTAGCAGTAGTCGGAGAGGTTGAGATTAGAAGATAATATTCATGAAGTATAACTCAATGAGGTAAATTTAGAAAGAGAAAGATAAAGTGATGAGGAATTAAAACGTATAGGGTTTGAGAAAATAGAAGGAATGAATACAATATTACATAAATTATTTTTACTAATTCAATAGATAGTTCACTGTGGTCATCGGTTAATTTTCTCTCAGTTATAATTTTTGCATTATGGGATTGTGGAGGTTGTTCAGTTACTTAATAAAATGACCAATGGAGTTCAAGCCTGTTCGTGTGTGAAGTTGTGCGTACTGAACACAGTTTATGAAGTTGCGCAAGACCGTAAATTGATCGAAGTTAGACATCAACTCCGTTAGATACCGGCTCAATGGTCTTGAGATTAGGCGTTCGAGTGCAAGACCGAAGGTCCTGGGTTCGAATGCTGCGAGATGCAGGAGTTGTAGATTCGGTCTGCTAATGAGTACCATACTAGGACGAAACGGCCATCCAGCGATTACAGTTTTCTAATGGTGATCTAGGATTGGTCGATTTTTATGATTTCAATTATGATATTGCCTCGCGAAACAATGTAGATTTTCAGCAAAGCTGTAAGAACACAAACCATAATTCTCATGCATTTTTATTACTACACTAACAATATGTAAAATATGTAGACAAAAAGAATTTTCGGCTGAATACAAATTAACACAATCTGGTCAGACGACAATTATTACCAGAATTAAATTTAATTAGGAAATGAAATGCCGACAAGTATAATATTCAACATCTGTGCTTGAAAATTTTCTCATATTGTATTTAGAAACAACACAGATGCTATTTGAATCCATATGATGCAAAACATAAAATCAGATCATAATATACAGTTTATTGTATGCACATAATTAATTGAAGTTGAGTATAAGTGTGTAAATTATTTCTCGAGATTATTATTATTATTATTATTAATATTATTATTATTATTGACCTTAGAAATGCAGTTTCACACTGCATCACAGATTTTTCTGGCTCAATTAAACTAAACTGTATCTTTAAACGAAACAACTACTGTTAATATTCATAAAAACTATATTTTCGGATTGTCACAAATTATGATATAATTTTTAGTGGTAATTAAAAATAAATATTCTTAATTTCCCAAAAAAATGTTATCATCTTTTTATGTCTGTAACTTTGATAAATCTATTAGTTTACCGATTGAAAAATTTGATGTCTGACAGCTTGTTCATGTATTCATGTGTAGAAACTTATGTAATTGTAGTCTGAATAGTTTGGATTATGGGTTACTAAGTCTGTAAGAGTAAAAAGGGGTTCTATATGTAGAGATAGATAGTGGTTAGTACTGGAATCCATGATGCGCGTTTTGTTCTGTTCAAGATTTTTCAGTTGCATTGTACCTTGTCGATTCTCAGAGTGAACATCAACTCTGAGTTTCAGGTATGTCCAGTTAACGAGTCCCAAATAGCGCAAAACGAGTTGTAATGCTAGAAAGTATCTGTCTCTACTTATAACACCTGTGAACTAATAGCTATATCGAGGTAACCCGTTTAGGATGTATAAAAGTTCAAATGAGACTGATCAGCTGCACTCCTAAACAATAATGGCAAGATTCAAGCCAAAAATACAAATGAATTAGAATTATATATTATTTGTTATACTATTCAGTATTCTCTTAGTTTTACCATTTTTAACGAATAAAAATGATATCTAATGCAGATTAACATTATTAATTTATTACGTGTCACTGCTTACAATAAGCTATTTAATAGTTATCATTTTCAAACTTTTGAAATGGAAGATATTGTGACTGAAACACTGAATTTCAGTCACATATTTATCAGAAGATAATCCCAATAACAAGCTAAAAGATTATTTTTGTCATTTGTTGAGCCTGTGATTCTCGTATCATCGGTCGTTTAATTAAATGCAAGTTATTTTTGTAAATATAAACAACTTATTGAAAAAAATTCAGTAGTTGAAAACAATACACAAAATATTTTTATCAGCAAGTAAATATTTTCCCAGTTCACGGTTATAGAGTAATGTTCTGTGGTTCTAGGTGTTTGTGTATAGTTGACAGAAAACTTCTTTTGACCAAGGTTTTGTATTATTCGGGATTCGTCAGTAAGGCTCGCTTACAATCCAGAAGGAAATAGTGCTGGTTGTGGGATATGAACCTAGTGTCAGTCAGCCTCATATTTAACACTGAGCTACTTCAGTCATAACCAGCCTTCTGTAGGATTACGACTAGTCACCATGTGACTGGAACCTAACACTTCTAAACGATGTTTGGGATGTCAAATCACTTAAACTAATACTTACTCGATTGAGTGGATTTTATCCGCACTGAAAAGATTAGGCGAATTTGATGTTGGTCACCACTCAATGACTAATCAGTGGTAAAGATCTTAAGCGAGTCTTGATTTTCGATCTTCTTATAAGAGTAATTGCTCATATTTTGTCATTTTTGAATACACCAATCTTAATCATTATCACTTAACATTTGTTACTATTTTTTAATTATACACATAAGGTTTCAGCATACAGAAGTACACTTAATTGGGATTTAGGCGAGAGAGCAAAATCTATCTCGTGTGTACATACTCAAATTAATCCACAAACATATAAGAATCAAAGTTATTCTTTGAATAGTTTATTAGATCAACAACCAAGTGACTGGCTTATTGATGATTATGATTCAAAACACAAGGGATGGAGACGAACAGAACAGATGGTAAGAAATAAAGATTCATTCACAAAAACTTCATTATATCGTGAACATTTCACACCAAAAGAAGCTGGTAAGCACGTAGTAAATATTATCAACACTATTTTTATTTACACACTGTTACCCACCAAAGTAAATGATTCGTTTCTAACTTTATTCGACTGTTTAATAATACCCTGTTAAAGACATTCCTAATATTGAGATAAGAGTGATGCCACTATAGTTCTCCTTTCTTTGGTATCTTGGTCAGGTTTCATTCATTCCAGCCTTTTGGTACTGGTTCTTCCTCTCAGATATCACTGAGGAGAACGTGTAGTATCTTTGCACGTCTGCCACGTATCTGCCACGTCTGCCTCCAGGGCATCTGCTAGAATGTTGTCTGGTCCTACTGCTTTGTCGTTCTTAGTTTGTCTGATGACCATGCTGATACCTTCAGTTGTTGGTGAGCTAAAATCGATTGTGAGGTGCATGGGCGGGTTCAGTTTGGCTGGTCTATTCAAAAGTACTTCAAGCTGCTTTACCTCCCTGTTTCGCTCTTCTTCAGTGTCGGCTATTACTTTCCCCTCTTTGCTGTTCATGGTGGTTCTGGCTTTTGATAATTTCCAGCAAGCTTCTTCATTGTATCATATAGTTATCCCATATTTCCTTCTCTTGCAGCTGATTCTGCTATAATTGCTAGATCTTCTACATGTATGGTAATATGTTGCCAACCACAGCTGTTTGGTCAGAAGCATAAGGACTTGAGAATCTCTCACTCTTTTGGTACCATTCTCTCAGTCCAAATAGTCCCACGTGAGCTTCCTATCTAGTGTTGTTCATTTCAACCTTGGTGTTTAAGTCTCCCATCAGAATGGTCAAATCCTTTATTCTGATCTTTATCGTTTTCATTATTATCGGTGGTACGCGCATAGCCTTGTGCTTCTTTAGATAGCATCGTTGCAACTACTTGTTTATGTGAGGCGTTTTCTTTTTCATGGCAGAATAGAGCAGCAACTCTCTAGAATCTAATCTTGTCTATTCAGCTCGCATCTAACGAGTTTTACTGATTTCAAGCACCATCAGGCTGTACTTTTTCATTTCCGCAGCAACCTGAATTATTCTTCCGGTCTCCCACGTTGTTCAAACATTCCATGTACCTCATTACCATCCTCTACATGTTTTAAAGCTCAAGTTTAAAAGCCTAATCAAGTATAGTGCTTCCGAAAGGTTAACTGATTTTTTCCTATTTTTTGGCGAGCTTTTATCATTATGAATATACGCATTAACCACAGAAGCATAACCTTAAGCGAAGTAGTAAATAAATAATAAATCTGTTACAAAGTATTATGTGAAATCGGACGCTTAGAAGTTTTATAAACTCTTACCAAATATTTTTAGGCACAAAACCCCTCCATTTGGTTACTTCAGCTTATGGCAGATATTTTAATGTTCCAAATTAACCGGGATTAAATTATAATAAGTTTATGTTATATGTCAAGTATTGTTTATCCATTGTACCCACGTTTTTACTGATTTATTCATCAGACTACCTGAAATTGATTTTCAAGGAAAGGCAATAGGAATGAGGAATAAAGCCACTGATCTACATGAATGTAGATTGAATTCTAGAGGCGAGTATAAAAGTATTTTTGGTTAGTATCAACATACTTTTGTTTCGTTTCATAAAAAGATCCTTTTTGTTGTATGGTAACATTTTTGGATAAATACATTGCTTGTTTACATTACAGAGCATGTACAACCGGTGAAACCTGTTCATATACCATTAAAAACTTCAGAGAAATTTAGTGATAAATCTGTTTATACGGATGAATATACATGGCGACCAATATTAATAGATTATAATCGTTTAAAGCATCATAGACTATGTCTTCCAATTGAATGCATCCCATCAAGACCCAGAGATGAATCAAATATAATGACTATTGGTGAAGATGTTATATCATTGTCTAATACAAATTCAAAGCCATTTAAAAATACAACTTACAGAGAAGATTTTCAAAGGCGTGAATTGATTCGTAAAGAACCAGTTATGTGTAGAAAAATTTCTCCTACAATCAAATTATCTAAGGTAATGAATGTAATGAGTGTTGGTGAATTAATAATTATAGTTGGTATCAATGGGGAATCGATTTTTCAAAACAACATTACCTTCACGAATGAGATATTTAGTTTTAAAAGCAGTCGATATAATCGTTTCTAAGAACATGATACTTAAATATTAATTCAAAGCTCTTCAGAATCGAAATGTTTTTTACAAATGTTTAAGATTCAATTTTATATAACACATCTTACTATTTAAGTATCAAGTTTCCCATAAAAATGAAACCAAACTTTTTCAAAGCCTACTGAATCAGTAACCTTTCAAACATTCATATAACTGGTAATAAAAATGGTGAAATCATAAAATCCTAATCAATGGAAAACTAGATTTCTGACGTTGTGTGACTTTGTGTAAACTACTTGACCAAAAAACAGATATCAGTAAACTAGTTTAACTAACAAAATGAACAAAGCAAAGCATACTTAGTCCAGTCTAATTGAAAGTAGGAACATTATACACTAAAATAAACGAAGTGATTTTGAGATTCTTTATATCTTCGATTGTTGTTAATTTATTCATGTCCCATGTTGGAGTCATATATTTTTATCAGAGCTGTCAGATCATAAATTTAGCTCAAATTAAAAAAAATCTATACTAAGACATTTATAAACTGGTCAATAACATCTCAGTTCACATCGAATTCACTTTCAAAAATGAGAATGAACTTAATGGTCTACAATTCCTAGACTTTTTAAACAAAAAGAATTCCAATGAAGGTTTAAATCTGACCACCTATAGCAATCCAACTTCTTGCTATGTTTGCGCTAAGTAAGATACGATTCGATTCTTGTGAATAGAATGTAAACCTATAACTCAATAACAAGACAACTAATCTATTCTCTGAGGCGCAACTCAACTAACTAGAGCAAGAAAACCAAGGTCATCAAGAAAATTGTATAATCCACAATCAGCCCCGATAGAACGAGCATTCACAAGCATTCAATTCAAGTGCAAAATATACAGTACAAAAAGCGTCCTTGGAAGAATTAAAAAAATGGAGCACCAAAAGTGAAAACTAAGCAATGAAGTTTTAGGTCCTTCCAAGTTGGAAGCATAACTGAAGCTAACAGGGAGTGCACTTGGCACAAAAATAGGAAAGTCAAATTTCTAAAATTAAATTACAAGATTATGAGATTTTCCAAGCGATTTTTTGGAGATCTAGGACACTCACCACCGACACACTCAAGTCAATAAATCAATCCCAACTCAGCATATAAACTGAATACAAACATTCTATTGGCTTTACATTTATCCAGACGAGTTCAAAGATCATGACCTCAGGTGAAAAGAAACAAAAAGAAATGAAAAATTTAATTTGCATCTCAAAATTTAGTAATTTTCCTATTGATATAATCGAGAATTTACTACAACACAATATCGTTTCGGGTTAACAGTGATAATAAATTCAATGAAATATAAGCTGTACTATAATTCTACCATTTCTAGATGGTGCAGGTTTGGTATGAAACAGTTATCCATCTCAGACAATGGATGAGGGCTGTACAATATTGTGGATTAACTGGATTCTGCCCTGGTAGTTAAGAGGCTAAACTCGAAACAGTGTGCTTACGGTTCGATGCCAGTTTTGGGGTCGTAGATATGCACTTTTTAGAAGTTCTAAAACGAAACACCCGGTGCTTTTAGATCCCCAGCATTTGTTTTACCAAGATCAGGTTGAGATTTGAACTACTAAACGTCTGTAATCTGCACAGAACTTCACACTGAGAATAATATCTCAATTGTCCGACTGAAAGTCATGTGAGTACTTCAGTTGGCTCACAAACTGAGCCCGGTACTTTATGGTCTTAAGTTGTTTATCAATATTTCAAAATATTATTAAGAATTACTATGAGTATTTGCTATTTCAGTGAAATCCGCAACCCCTCTTTGAAACATCATATACTGACTGACTATTGGCTAACTTTAAAAGGGAACTTTTGACGTCTTATTGAGAAACCACGACATTTGGAGTTAAACCGTGTTTACTGTTAGACAGTTAAACGGCGAAGACACTATTAGATGGTCACGCATTATCGTGGGCTGACTGAAGTTAGACTTGTACATCAATGAATTACGGTTGAGTATGTGGGACTAAAGGTTCTGGGTTAGACTGTTTGTTTTGGAATCGTGGATAGTTGCTGCTGACGATTCCTGTACTAGGATGAAATGATCATCCTGTGTTTCAATGTTTTTCGTGGTTATTTTAACTCTGAGTGGTCCGTTATTTAAGTGAAATTCAAGAATTGCCACAACCCAATACTGACTATTTTCTTTCCACTCATCATGTTACTTTCATTGTGTTTCTTTCACTTCATTAGGGTTTAAAACCACCTTACGAAATTCAAGAGTCTGATTTTAGTATGAATTCAAAATATCAATATGATTATGGTTGTTTACTAAAACATCGTCGTCTATCTAGTCAGTTACCTGCAGCTGGAATCACAACAACCGGTGGACCTATTAAAAATCAAAATCAAACTTATTCATTTGACTCGGAAAATTATCCTTCATTTATAAAAGAAAAATCTAATATCGGAAAAGAAAAAACTCAAGAATTCTGTTCAAATATCAATTTATCTCGACAAATGTATTTACCAGATATTGTTGAACAAATGGACAACAAATGGCCATATTTAGAGCATAAAAAAGGATGTTTCTATTCAACTAGACCATTGGAAGGAAGTTTTTAGAAATCGTCGTTATCACTTGTATTTCTGTACCGATTTCCACCATAAATATTTCTAGTGGAGAAATACAAATTATTGATTGATTCAATGTTTTTCATTTCCGTTATTGCTTGGTATTCTGCTTCAATACAAACAGTCAGTAAATAGAGAGAAATACTGTTTCAATTGCAACATACTTAGTTGAGGTTGTTTTTTTTCCAGTTCCTTTGATGAACAAAAAAATTTAAAAAACAAAATGAAGGTGGATGCTTAGACTTTATCAACCCGAAAGACATGAACATCAATAAGTTGAGAAGTATGTATCAAAGTAAATCATTGAATAATGATTACTTATAAATAAACTAGTAACAGTTAGATTTCTGAATACGTTCTCCTAAACAATCTTGTTTTGTAGTACATTGATTTTCTTAGAGTATAGTTAGTTAGTTACAAAAGAAACAAGTGTAGTAGCTAAATGAAAAAAAAAGATAGATGACAGGATGATGTGCAACAAGAAGGATAAATTTGATGCCAGAATTAATTGTTCAAAGTTGAAAGTTAATAAAATTGGGCTAAAAATCACTTGAAGTTTGAAAAATATTTAAAAGACCGTGCTCATAAATAAAAATTCCAAACTTTAATTAGGTAATATAATAAAATGAATGAACTATTAATGATTATGGGTATAACGATTGAATAAAGCTGACAATAAAAATATATGCAGGAAGATATTAATAATGTTTATCTTAATTGATGTGAGCAAAATTGACAATTGTTGTGACCCGATAGTTGGTAAAGGTCATCGGATAAAATAGGGATCGAACAAATGATTGTTATGCCAACACAGTTGATCATGATAACTTCGTTTAGTAAACAGTGACATACAAACTAAAAAGGTAACTGGAATCTATGACATCGGAGAGCGTCGTGTACCTAAATGATTAACATAATTACATCAAAAAAGTGACGGCAATCTTTCTGAGTCGTCACACATATTTAGTTACACGCACAAAGTGGTTTATTTATATCAGCAATGTTCAGTGAATTATAAAAGTGGTAATTTGTATAGATGCAAAGAATGTATGTTTGCTGAGTTTTGGCTTGGTCATTAGTACCTCGGAAAGGAGGTAGATTTTTGGCCACTCCTAGATGTTAGGGCAAATTAAATTTTCTATTGACACAAATATAATAATCTTTAATAATTCTTATACTATACTCTATGCAACTGTATTGTCATCTAATTGGTAAGCATCGTTTGTTTTACTTGTTTCTGTTGCAAAGTGTAAACTTAGAGTCTGATTAAAAGAGATCAGAGTACAACAATGAATGCACTGGTTAGCCCATGAGTTTTTTTTCAGAGAAATATGCATTTGTTACTAGTAATTTTTTATTTGAATGATAACACCTGAATAAATAAATGATATCGAGCGGCTTTTGCATTTCACAAGCACACTAGATTTCTGAATGAGTGATTATAGATGCTTTAATGACAAAAACTCTCTTCACAACTGAGTCCGTAATATAATGTTACTTTTGTTATAAACATTAGTGAATAAACCAATCTCCATTTTTACTGTGAACAATTCACTCAAAAAATGTTTTAATGGATCACTTAATAGAACATATCTGATAGAAAATTTCATAATCAACCTTAAATTTCATATTCATTGTGTACTGAACCAGCAACTTCTGTAGGACTACAAGTTATATACCTTATTTCAATGTTGTGGTGTGAAGGTGATTCACAGAGATTGTTGGTAGTCGGAATATCAGTAAACAGTAAGTTGACATATAAGAAGCCTATGGTTTACTTACTCACGTTTTTATCTTTCATTATCTACAGGCCTTTAGGCTTTGATGAGTAAATTTTTGTTCAAATGCCTAAACTTTGTCAGCAAGCCACGCAAATACTTTATAGTTCATAATCGTACTAGCTAATTAGTTCCACGGATTTTCGGTAAGCCATAAGTTCTAAAACTATTTGTTCCGAGAGAGCTTAAAATATACCAACAGATCAAATAACATTGTATGACTAGTCAATAGGAATACATTTAAATGAATACATTTAAATGAAACTCCTTAAACTTTCTAGGAAGCAATTGAAAAGAAGTATTTTCCAGAAAATATTTTTTAGTTCAATATGAATATTTTCAAATTAAATGAGAATAAATATTTGTGAACTATAGGATAAATTTTAAAGAAATACAATAGAGAAGTGTCTCATTTGACTATTAAACTTAGTTAATTGATAATTTGACAAATTATGTATACATTAAAAACAGATATCGGAGATAAATTTTGATGTATTAGTTTACCACTTACAGTTAGTGAATGAACAAATAAATAAATAATTAAATAATTAATTAATTAAATAACTTCAAACTCAACTAAGCGCTTTTACTATAATAAATATTAATTATAATCAACTTATTAGTGAAAGGGAAACTTATACCAACTTATACCAAAAAGTTGAACACAAAAATTGAGGACTGAAACTAGATTATTCATATGCAAAAAGGCAAATAAAAAAAAGAGTCCTCATAATTAAGGATAGTTGTGAACATGATGTCAATCAGTCAGTTAGTTACAACGTAGAACTTCGTGCGTACGTACGTACATCAGTTCAGGTTGACATACCACATTAGCACAGAGACGCAATTAACAATTCAAATCCCATAGTGGTAGAGATCGTAGAAGAATTATTGCTAATGGAGAGGATTAGGATTTGAAGATATTATTCAAGAAGTATAATTCAATGAGATAAGTTTAGAAAGACAAAGGTAGAGGTGCTGATGAATCCAGAAGATTAGGATTTGAGAGAACACAAAGAATAAATGCACCGGCGCTATTTCAAACGATATCGAGCCATGTCATTCAAGGTCTCTAACCATTGGTGACTTTCGTCTCGCGGACCCCAACCAGGTAGTCTACATCTGCCAACATGACTGAGTCCAACTGTTAGTGATTTCATGGATTTCGTGAACATAATGTATACTTGTTGAATATGATAAACAGATATAATAAAATGTTATATCAATAAGCCATGAGCATAGATTGATTTTGGCTGAAATTAACGAGTATAAACGAAGTTATGGGTTAGATATTGAAGCAATTTTGATTGGTTTTATTAAAAAATAAGATTTACAGTACAGGCTTAGTAATTTGGTCTTTGAGGTATTTTAAAACAATTTGTTTGCTAAATTATTTGTCGATATGTCTCATAAACAGACAGGTAGTTTACGCTGTCATACAGTTTAAAATATTTAAAAGAGATGTTAATAGATTGAAAAATTAGAAAGAGCAGTAATCAAATGTGTTATACAGTTTTGAAATTTACGCGTGATGCTTTTAAAAATCACTTAAAAAATAAATGAATACTGAATTATTAAGAAACATGTTTAAATAACAACCGTCTGTTCTGTTATTTCTTAATTTGGTGGCTAAAAAATGATTTTATTTTGCAATTTGAATAGTAATCCAGGTGTTATTGACAATCCAAATTATCTGAAGTTCATTAGAAAAATTAAAAAATTACATGAAATCTACTTAATACAATGTAGATATTATGTGGCTAGCAATATAATCCACACCCTCACATGGGTGTGTGTGTGTGTGTGTATTACAAAGTCCACTCCGGGATTTGAAGCTAATACCGTTCACAACAAAAGCCATCACACATACCAAACAAGATTGATTAAATTTCAACGACAAGTATCAACAGTGGTATTATCTAAACCATTTCACGTTGAATCGAATGTATCTGTTGGGTTTCACTACCCGTCTTTACTGAGAAATCAATTGAGGTAAATAAATTATTTATCGACTACTAGCAAAACATCTGAACTTTCAGATGATCTAGCTCTTCAATCACACATGCAACAGCAAATGCACAAGAAGACTATCAGTGTAGCAGCGGCCTCATCAGCAACAAGTCTCAACACATGTGAAGAGAAAAGCGAGATTCTCCAATACAGCACAACATGCGTCAACCAAATCACACTTGACGGAGAAGTTTTAGAAGATGTAGAAACATTTACATATCTGATCACAATCACTGACGAGCGAGGTGGATTCAATGCAGATATGAAGGTGCGGATCGGCAAAGCAAGGGAAGCAGTTCTACAGTTGAACGACATCTGGAATTCCAAACAACTGTCAACAAATACCAGAGTCACAATTTTCAATACAAATATCAAGACGATTCTACTGTATGGGGCAGAAACTTGGAAAACTGCCAAAGCCATCATCCAAATGATACAGAAGTTTGTTAACAGTTTTCTACTCAAAATACTTTGGATTCGTTAAACCAGACACCATCAGCAACGACCTACTATGGGAGAAAACAAACCAGAATCCAGTGGATGAGGAAATCAAGAAGCTCTCGAAGTGGATAAGACACACAATAAGGAAAGCACTCAAATGCGTCACACGACAAGCACCCACTCAGAAATATCAAGGTCAAAGGAAAAGAAGTAGACAAAGGAAAACACTGTACCAAGAACTGTCAGCACACATAAAATGAATGAGCAACAGTCGGACAGAAGTGGAAAGGAAGTCCCAGGTGGAGTAGGTTGGAGAATTCCGGTGAGCGGTCTATGCTTCATTGATAGGTAAAAGGCGTAAGTTGTCATTAAGAAACATATGATGTTCTTTCTACTATTTCCATATGCTTAGCGACTTATTACATTTGATTCCTTGTAGAATTTCCTACAAGCCAAAATCAAGAAAAGTATATTTCTCAGGAATAAAACATAAAGTGGCCGTATACAGAGCAGAGTTTATTGATGAAAAGCAACTCATCTGAATTTAGCCACTATAAATATTATACTACAAATAAGTCTTAATTTCATAACTACATAAGTTTACAAGTTAGTAGTCAATTAACAATGTCAATCATTGTTTGTTTAAGATTCCCTTCAACTTTACTTATGTTTTCATAAACACTTAACTGAATCAGTGTAAAAGTTCAGTTAAAATAACTTTGAACAAATTAGAATTAGTGAGAGAGAGAGAGAGGACAAAAAGGAAACAATTCATAAATTACAAATAAGTGATGAATGAAACTAAATGTCAATCCTGTGAACAATTTGTGAAGTAT